GTTTTATAAAAACCTGTTTTTATGCGTTTCGGTTGTTGTTAGATTGAGCGTATCAAAAGTTATGAATATGAGTAGGTAAATATCGAGCCCTAACCGCAAAAAAAAAATGTTAACGGCATTTTCTTTTTCAAAATTTTCGTTTTGATGCAGTAATGCATCAATATGCGCTGGGAGCATTGCTGCGTCAAAAGGAAATTTTAGAAAAAATTTAGCTTAGGTACACTTTTTTTTGGGGTTAGTGCTCGATATGTATGCGAAAAAACTCCTCAAGAAGCGCTGGTGGTGAAGGACGTTGGAGTATTTATTGAAAAATTATGCACTATTAGAATTCACATATTTAGAAATACATGAAATGTTAAATTACTGAATAATTTGGACGGACAAATGGGCAAAATTTGTATGAATAATCCGAAAATAAAATGTGAAGTGAACATCTAAGTATGAAAATTCTAAAGAAATTAAGGAAAATGTATAAGAATAGCTTTAATTCTGCATTATATAAGGCGGAGTTGAAATGCTTCTTGTGTGCGTTAAATTATAGAGAGTTCTCTTTTGATTTGTATTATATATGTATGTACATATGTACGAGTATCTTATGTAAAGTTCGAGTGCGAATGGTCGACAAACATAGCGAATGTTGTCCAAAATCAGCTGTTATACCGTAAAACATCGTTGCTATTGCACCATTTGACAATTGCTCAAAGCCGGATCCTAAAATTCAGCGCTCGAAACAAATGGTCACCTGGTTTTTCGGAAGAACTGATCTTGTGGTAATACTTAGTATTCTTAAAGAAATGTAGAATGATCAATTCTGAGTAGGGCAGAGCCATTTGTTCGCCAGAAGACTTCGGCGTCTTTTTGACATTGACCTCAGTCCTCATTTGGCACCTAATAGCTTCTTTTTATTTCCGAATATCAAAAATAAACTACGTGGCCAATGATTTTCCGACGTCAGCAGATGCAGCTGATGTGTTTAAAACTCATGTTTTGAATTTACCAATTTCAAAGTGGCATAGATGCTATAAGAAGCGGCTTGAGCGAATGCAGAAGGATATTGATCATAATAATTATAATATTTTGGCACTAAAACTTTTGCTATCTGTTTGACCGAACCTCTCCTCCAGTTTTTGGTGTGCGTCCGGATGTTATAACCAGGGCTGTAAATCTGTTTTGAACCGAACCAGTTTTTGATCCGAACCGCCGCTTTTTCCGGGCTTCGAACCCGAACGTTTTTATTTTGAAATGCCCGAAAACCACTCCAAAAGACGCAAGAAAGACCGTGAAAATTTTTCAAAAATTAACTTAAAACTTAAAACTTTTAAAATATTTATAATTTTTGCACAAAGTTTGTAACTTACATATATTTATATGGTTAAAAAAATAAACAATAAATAAACAAATGAAAAATGGCAAAAACTTGATACAATGTCGCGTCCCTATTTATGTTTCCACCACTATATGTTCTTGTGGATATTTCAATTTGATCTCAGCAACAAAGCCTTTAGTATTTATATTATGGATTTGTCATATTTGTGTAATATATGTATCATTTAGCATAAGAAAATTAAGCCATTGGAATCGAACCAAACCGTGATTCAGGGATACTCGTGAACTGGTTCTTGTACCGGTACAAGCTTTTTCTAGGTTAGAAATTAAACTTAAATTTCCTTTCATTTTATTCATTTTGTCGCGACCAATACTCGACGTTTTCATAACCACTTCGCGAATAATTCAGGATCATTTTGTGACTAGTTTCGAGCTACCCCGAAATGATCCCGAACTAATCCCGAAATTGTCCTTAAGTAGTTTTGAAAAAATAGTGAACTTGTCTCGAAATGATCTTGAACAAGTCTTGAAACCAGAGATGCTCAACAAACTATATGAATCGATTACGTTTTGTTGATGCGCGGAAAATAACTTATCCAAATAATTTCTTTTCGTTTCAGAACTGAATTAACGCAACAAAACTCAATCGTTAACATCGAAACAAAATAAATCAACGAAAAGTTGATGTTGTATTTCATTGCCAGCCCACTATAAACACCTAGCACCTAAATGCATGCTACAGCTTCAGAATTAACGGTTGAATTTCTTTTCGTTAATAATCAAAATAGAATTATTTTGATAATTACCTAAACGATAAAAAACTGAATCGTTTCAACAGCAACGATTGATTTTTTTTGGTAAACGCTAAAATTAACTTTACAATGCATCCTTGCCTGAAACGGTCCCGACATGGCGCTTACTAGTCTCAAAAAGATCACGAAAAAATCACAAAAAGTTCCTGAACTAATCACGTAATCGGCCAAACAAGTCCCACAATGATAGCAAACTAGGCCCAAAATGATCTCGAACTAAGCCCGAAACGGTTTACAAATAGCCCGAACAGGTCTCTCTTTCTCTTTTTATGAAGTCAATTGAATTATCAAGAAATCAACTCCGCCGTTACAAAAAAAAAAAGTATGTATAAGTATGTGTTTAATTACTGTTTGTGGTTTTTTCTCATTCACTGTAAAATCTACTGTAAAGTGGTCTATAAAGTTTTTTTTTGCTCACAAAAGTCCATATTGTTGTTGTTTCTTTTATTATTAGCGCTAATATTTGATTTCATCTACCGTTGATTTGTTTTTTATTTACTGTTTGTTGTTTTATATTTCTTTAGCTAAATTTAGTATTAAAGAGTAAAATATCTCCAAAATGTAATATTTATGTTTTCACTAATTTGCTTGTCACTTTGCTTGTCTATTTGCTGTTTGTTTTGCTATTTTGTTGTTCCATTATTATTTTTATAATTTTTTCAAAATGTTTTCATTTTACTGTAGATTGACATTATTTACGCATAGTTGGTATAAATTTGCTAAATTTTGTATAGAAAGTCACTCGCTTAAATCAGCAATCTTATGAATATTTATATAATTGATAAATAAATTATTTTGTAACAAACAATTGGCTTTAATTGAACTAAATTTATAACACTAAGAAAATTCACTAACACATACAGATGTAAAAGTTTTTCAAACTAGTAGGTAGCAATTTTATGCACAGTGCTAGAGTAACTAAAGTGAGTTAGTAAGTTAGTTGAAAAACTAGATAAAATAACTTTGAACTTAGAGTTGACAACTTAATTTAATAGCATACATTCATATATTTGTCTAAACAATGCACGAATAGACTTTTCATTCCTACTTACTTTTAGTATTGTTTGCCGTTCGTCATTGTAATTCAACCCGAATTTCATAGATACTTTTCTTTTAATTTTTACAATTAAATTAAATGGTGATTTATTTTTCATTAGCTTTAAAAATACTTTTACTTATAAAGGAATGTTTAAATCTTCATTTTTGCATTTAAAAAAATACTTGCTTGCAATTACTATTTTACAATTACCATTTAAGTACATAAATATTTTCTATTAATGCTAGATCTCATCTCATGCTAACTGCTGACTTCTGAAAATTAGTTCAGATTCACATGCGTACTTATAAATTGTTTTATTCAAACACTATATGTAGATGTATGTAGTATACAGTGTATACGCTCAATTATGTGTTTGCGGGTAGGGTACAATTTTTAGTGATTCAGTTGGGGTGTCTGCTGTTTTCTTTTTGTATTAAAGTATACATATATAGAGTTGTTTTTCTAAGTTGCCAACCAACTTGTAATGAGATAAAATAAGCGAGCAATAATGAGAAGGAAAACCCCCCCAGCAAAATGTTGTGCGCTGGGCCTGTGACCCGCCACCTAAAAAAATTACCAATGAAACGACCAGACAAGCCTCTAATTGGCGAAGTGTTTTGATCTCTACCGAAGCCGAAGAACGGCTGTAGATCAAAATAAGAAAAAGAAACTTTTGGCGGGGCCGGAACTTTTGCAGACTGGGACATTTAGTTTATGCTACAGTAGCTGGGAAGTGAAAATTGAGATTTATATGGAAAAAATCTCTGAAAATTATATACCCTTCCCCGGTGCATAGAAAACCCTCAAACGACCACAGGAAAGTAATGAAGAAACCAAAAACTACTAGCGCTTGTTTCTACAAGAAAGTGCGGCGGCTTATACGGTGTTTACATGAGGCGATTTTACAGGAAACTTTTAGTTGAAAGCAACAATCGCCTGGTGTGAACGAGCTTTCAACTAATGCGTCCAAAGAAGTTGGGGGCAGACAACTTTTGATTCAACTAATCGCCTGTAAAATTGCCTGAAAAATCGGGGCGAATATCTGTAAGAACGACTACGGCGAACTGGTGCCTGATGTCCAGAACGCGCTTAACTTACGGTAGCAGCACCGGAAAACGTATAAATGATAATGATAGTTGATGAAGGAATTGCAAAAACCTAGCTTAAAATAGCAAAGCAGCTGAAGTCGATATTCTACCAGCGGACGTAGAGAATTTTTTAGTGCCTCGGAGTTTTCAACTTTGCTAAATCCCACAAAAAAAGTTAAATCCTTTTTTAAAAATCCGATGTTACTATTGAGGGAGAGCGTTACTTTATATTTCTATCAAGTTTATCTTTCACGGACAACCAAAATAACGTCAGTACAAGAAATTTTGATTAAAAGAAAACGTTGAGTTGTTGAACACAGAAATATTTTCAGGCGTTGGAAATAGCGACAAAATACAATAATATGTATTTCTTTTGAATTACAAAATTGTTCTCCTTGACGGTAAAATATCTTTTGTCGACATACAGTGACTCAAACAATTGACCACGTGTTGGTTTGGTTTTAATACGTGTAATTTTTTTCGAGCTTAATTTGTTTCGTTACTTTTCTATAAATCGTCCAAGCTTTACCCAAAAACATATCAATCACATTTTTAAACTTTATACAGAAGTTAGGAAAATTCAACAAATTTTTAAAAAAATTTCAACTTTTTACTCTGAATCTTTAGAATATTTTTGTATATGCGGTTTTATAGCCCATAAAATTTTAGTATAATGAAGTGCAAGTCTCAAACGGCTAAAAAATCCCGTTGACTTTTAAGTTTTTTTTTTTTTTGGTTTTTGAATTTCTTATGAAATAAAATGCAAATCGATTTTTTAGCCGGTTGAAACTTGTACTTCATTAGATTGGAATTGTATGGGCTTTAAAACTGCATACTCAAAAATGTTCTAAAGATCCAGATTAAAAAGTTGAAATTTTGAAGAAAATTTGTTGCATTTTCCTTAATTTTGTATAAAGTTCGAAACTGTGATTCATATGTTATTGGGTAAAGCTTGGACGATATTTATAGAAAAAAATAAAATAAATTAGCTCGAAAAACCTTACGAATTTTAAAATTATCAACACGTGGTCATTTGTTTGAGTCACTGTATGCTATTTTGTTTGTCTCTGGAAGATAGACCTAAGTTGTTCTTTCACATTTTTAAAGATTTACATACATACATATGTATATCCCATTCCTTTTGGGATCTCATCAATCATTATGGTCTTGTGGTTAGAGATGCATACTATCACTCGATCCCTAGAACATTTTTGCGTTTCTAGTACTTAAATAAATAATGTAGCTTTAATCCAAATAGAGTGAGATCTTTTTATTTGTTAATTTTTTAATGACTTCTTTTAGTCAACTGATTATATGTTAAAAAATGCTAGATTTACTAAATACTTCCCAAGTGAATACTAATGGCTCACATACATACGCATGTTTTTCTATATTAAAGTAAGAGAAAACAACTTGTAAATATAAATTTCTTACTAATAAAACTATTTTAAATACATATTTTCATATACTTGTGTACATATGTATGTACATATGTAATTACAAATATTGGCATGTTTTGTATTGAACACAAAATTTATGTGCTTAGATAAGCATACATACATATTTAAGGAGAAATGCTTCTTGCGTTTTTCTTTTTCAATCAAAAGTATAAAATAGTAGTTTAACATAACGCAAACCAAATAAATACTAGAACTTTACTAAAGTGTTATGATATTCCCTCTCTTCTATAGACACTTAACTCAATTTAGCTACTATGTATATCCTTTAGATGATATGATTAACTTATGTCCCAGTACCTTTTACCTAATCTAAAACTAATCCTAGAAGACTGCCTAATCCATTTTTCTCATCCACCTTTTCTTTCGTTCTTATGTAAAACTTTTATTTTTATGAACTGTATGTATGTTAGTTTGTATGATTATTGTATGTAAAAGTTGTATAGTATATAAGGAACATAATTACAAATGAGGAAATACATGAGTGTACGACTGGTTGATATTCATGTCACATGATAGATGTGTATGTATGTATGTATGCATGTATATATGTATGTACATATAACTATCTATAAATAGTATGTTTGTATGCGTCCAAAATATCTATGTACATATGCATGTATGTACATATGAAAACGTTTGAATGCATATTAGCTGAGTATGTCTTTTACAATGATTTTGAATGTAGGTTTCTTTGATGCGAAATTCTAAAAAAAAAAATTTAAAATCATAAACCATAGACCTTAATTTTTTATTGTTGTTGCTGCTGTTGCTGTTGCTGTTGTGCTGCTGAATCAATGCGAATGCAAATTACTTTCCACCCACTTGTACAGTGATGTTTGAGAGCGCGCCACCCATTCCACATTGGAAGCAACACTGCTGAGTGTCATATTTAATACTTCCAAGCCGTGACCGCGCCCAAAGCGATGCACTAACGATTTAAGCTAAAAAAAAAAAAAACAAGAAAATAATAGTTTAGTTTATTTTTACGCTCCTATAAAGCAATCTATTCAGCATATAACGAACCTCATCGTAATCAAATTTCGTCGCACCATATTGTGTTATCGCTGATATCACCTTGGCAAAACTTATCGTCCCGTGGCCCAGTCGCATTTCCAACTCGAACCACTTGGCCTGCAGAAAACGGCACGCCATTGCTCCGCCTGTCGGTGTACCGGCAATTGCCTGCAATACCTGCACTACTTCGACAGTTGGCAGCATTGTGACATGCGAGAGCAGACGATTTTGTAGCCAAGCGTCTTTGGTACGACCGAGCGCTCGCAAAAGTTGCATACGCTCGACAAAACTCTCCGATGTGCGCTGAAGTGTGATGAAACGTTCCCAACAGTGTTGCCAGTAAATGTACTCACCAGACAGTATGGATCCAGTGTAGACGACCTTTGTTGAGCGGATATACAAGTTTGTATTAGAATAGTGCTATATGTACATATTTTATTACGTGCACTTACCTCTCTCAAATTAGGCGGAATTGCGGAACCATTGTAGAAAAGAAATTGGTTTAACATATTTTTTGCTTTTGTAATACTATCGATGTCCTCCCACAGCACTGAGCTTAAAAGTACTTCCGGCCTCATAAGCCTAAAAAGTAAAGAAGGAAAACGGTTTTTGAAAATAATATCTATGTGTAGTTCTTGATAGAACATGCTTCAAAAATATGCATATCCTGACGTTTTGATCATTTTATTTATTTACTAGCAAATACCCGGCGTGCTTCACAGCGCCATAAACGTATTTTTGTGCTGTTTGATACCCGTATTGTAATACTTCTTTTATTTTATCAATTTAATTGAATACAATTTTTCGAACAGGTGGCAACCGTCCTCAAAAATATTTTCGGCAGTAAACTATCCGAAAGCTCTTCAGCTTGATACCCATATTCCAATGTTCAATTTATCTTATAAATTAAATAAAATAAAATTTTTTTACCTTCTTTTTGGTTGTTTGTGTTTCCGACAGGGTAGGAGTATGATGTATTGTGGAACCTAATGACAGATAGTAACACGAATACATAAAAAGCGGAAGGAAACACGAACTATTCAGAACGAAAAATGACACTGAAGATGGCACAACGCCGAAACCGGTTTGTCTCCAAACCAAATTTGACAAGGGATGACGGAAAATCGTTCCACAATACATCAAAATTTTTTTACATTTAATTCACTTAAACTTCAATTTTCAATTAAGTGGCCACTCTAATTCGGTTTTTATTTTAAACTAGATCTCTAGCAATATATCGCTGAAATCTGTATTAAATTCCATGTATTAGTTTTCGAGTTATACCCGTACAAACATACAGACACAAATTTTAAAAATTGTTGATTGTTAATATTTCTTTAACATCTATAATGTACAGACATCGAACAGTGCCAGAAATATCAATTTTATTTGAGTGTGTAGTTTTGTGTAAATTTTAGTATAATAAAGTGCAAGTTTGAATGCTAAAAATGAACATTACTTTTTATGATTTTTTTGGCTGAGGATGTTGCGAATCTTCTTTAATATAGAAAATTGGTTTTTTATACGTTATTTGGAAGAAAATGGACTGAAATTTAATGGGCTAGAAAACCGCATACTCAAAATTTTTCTAAGAAATCGAATTTTCTCGAATCCTGTATAAAATTAAAAAAGTTGATTCTTTGCTGTTGAATGCACTATATTTTATTAACAAAATATAAATTTGGTATGGAAAATATAAATAGATAAAATCGTCAAAACGTCCTGGTATTCATATATTTTTTACGCTGATTAAAACATATAGGATGTTTCAGTTCACTTCAATCTTTCAAAATGGGATTTGCATTTTAATTATTTTGCTTTGCTTAAAATATCGAAATTTTGCTATCTCGCAATTTGCCAAGGAATATGTTTAATTACTTAAAAACGATTGGCAATTCGTGCATCGCTACTAATATCACTGATGGATTGTTTCGCGTTTATCGTATAAAGATGGAAGAAATGTCATTTTGTAGAAGAAAAAATATCTAAATAATTGCAGTGGGAAATACTACGCTGCGACTAATCACTTTAGCGTAATCGATTTTGTCTAAAATAAGTATGAACAGAAAATAATGTTACTCATACGCCATGTATCCACGCGTTTATTAAAACATTAAAGGAAAACAATAGCAACTGATTACGCGAGAGTGATAAGTCGCAGCGTAGTAAATAATTTGAGGGTGCACTTAAAAGTTGCGTTAGATTGGCTGGCGTAATGTTTGGTTGCACACCAAGTTTCTATACTAGGCAGGGTGGAGTCAAAAAACTCATTTTTTATAGCGGGAAAGAACTGTCATCAAACTCTCTTCTATATAACTCGTAAATGATTCGAGAATGCTATAAGCAACCGAACAATCTTCCAAACACTGACTGGGTAATGTTTAAACTTCGGATTAGCCGATCCTCTACCACCTTGGACACTGTAATACTTGCACTTGTATGGTGTAAAAAGACTACTCAAATGACAGGCATTAAAAACTGTGCAAGATCCAAATGTTTGTGACGAGGGCAATAAAAACAACACATGGTATGGAGGCTCTACTCAATCTTACACTCCTCCATGTGGCAATACAAGAAGAAGCAGCATCGCAAGCTCTGATGCTACATAGGAAAACAAATTCAAGCAAGGCGGCCTTGTTGGACACCTTGAAATCTTGAAAGGAAAAGGGGCAACCATGTCCAAAACCTTGTTCCCAGACGAAATTGATCCCATCCCCAGATTTACAAAGAGGTACAAGATCACACTTCTCTATCGTGAAGATTGGAGCAGAAACCCCACGTCGCCGCACGATGATTCATAAACCTAAATAGTATACTGATGGTTCAAAAAAATATTACGGTATATGTAGGTGCGGGTGTTGTGGGACCGCGTTTCCGTACATCTTTCTCCTTAAGTAAAGGCGCAACGATATTCCAGGCGGAACTAACTGCCATTCTGGAGACCGTCTACGTCTTAATAGGCAATATGCCATAATTAAAAGCAACATACATTTGGACAACCAATCTGTCCTCAAGGCGCTGGATAGCTACTCGCTCTCATCAAAAACCCTTATAGAGTGCCATAGAGCACTCAAAAACCTAGCCGTCCAAGATAGGGTCTCCTTAATCTGGGTGCCTGGTCATGGGGGCTATGATGACAATGAAAAAGCGGATTTTCAAGCTAAAAAAGGGGCAGACACACTCTTTGTTGGGCCCAGCCCATTCCTTAGATTCAACAACAATGATATCAAGAGGGACCTCAACAAGAGCGTAATATCCTGCACTGCTAGCTATTGGGATACCATCACTCAAAGAAGTTTCAATGATTCAGTGAAAAAAGAGCTCAATCAACGCTCATGCTAAGTAGGAAAATCTTAAAAACACTGTATGGAGCACTAACAGGCCACTATATGTGCAACAAACATATGCAGAGGCTTGGCATCTGTAGTAAAAACATCTGCAGGTTCTGTGGTGAAGAAGAGGAATCAGTAGAACAACTTATTACTACCTGCCCAACACTAGCTCAGCGCAGAGCCAAATTCTTCAACGACCATACGCTCAGCGATATCGACCTAATGCAAATTTCGCAGCAGAGCTTAATACAATTCTTGTGCATTATAAACAACATTTGGGCGCGGTGAAATGGGCCTGAAGACTTATCCTTACATAACCATAACCATAACCATTACCAAAGAATTCACATGAAAAGAAGCTTTCTTTCTGAAACTTTGTGTGGTATCAAAAGGCTCGGAGAAGTTCTTCCCGATTCTGCTCAACGTCATTTTACATAGACCGTATTAGTTTCGAGGGGATACAAAATTCAGACCTCGCGACATAAAAGCAACCTCTTTTTCGTGCGGTCGAATGTGGCTTTGAAATCGATAAGAAGATGGTGTAAGTCAATCTTATTAATCTCATCCGAGGCTGAATTGGTCATTTAATAAGCATAGGGTTTTACGAGGCGATTACCAAAACCAGCTCTAAAGCCCTTGCGGAAAAGGCTACAGTGGAAAAAACAAATAATCTTATTCATTTCTATTGACAACTCTAGCCTTAATTTTTTTATTAAACTATTTACTTCTTGAGGATAAAACTTCAACGTAATAGATAATTGCACATGTGACCAGGATGTTAGAATGAGTTACATAGCTGCACTTTTCATTTGAGAGGCAAAATACAAGGTAAAAAAATAAAAACATATGTTTAAAATAGATACTTTCTGGCTTAAAAATCTCAAATCAAAATTGGTTTTCTGTAACCAAAAATAATCTGTGAAACTAAAAGTTTTACATTTCCTTTCTTTTACTTACCTTTTAGCCTCGTTGCCTTCATCATTCCAACCGATTTTCTCAATTACGGTTGCCAATTTCATTTTAATAAATTCTGATAACATCAAGAAGCATTCTGAATATTTCAAAATACGACGCCATTTTTCCAAATGACGCAGCGCCACTGTCATTGGACCCCAATTCGTTTCACTCGGCAAATATTGTATCATATTCATAGTGATCTCACAAGGCAATAAATTCGCATGGCAGAGAGTAAAGGAATCTGACAGTAAACCAATGCGGTCCTGAAAAATAAGTCATCTTAATAACGGCACACTTCTGAAGCTCATTTCAATCACACTCACCTCACTAGAAAATTTGTCGAGGTTGTTTGAAAGCTCCTCAATTAAATTAGCCCAATTGTCATCGTTATACAAGACACGGTAGTATCCGGGCTGCATTGCATTAACCTTGATCCATTTGACATTCTCCGGTACATTGAAAGTGACTGCAAATAATAAAGACATTGTATAATTGATTTAAATATAATGCGAAAAACTCTTTTCTCATCGAGAAGTTTTTATTTTTTTTTTTTTGCACGCACCATCAATATTTTGCAACCATAGCGTCTCACTGACATTATTGATGTCAGTTGTGTAAGTTATTGGGAATATCCATTTCATCTGCGTGGGTTTCTTGCTTTTACTAGCTGTTGTTGGTGGCACCGTGCTCGGTGTTTCTGTGACATTCACTACTGTTTTGTTGTAGTTATTGCCGTCATAAGTCTCATCGTGTATGGCAAGAAATTCAGCCGGTTTGAAGGGTCTTTGTGATATGGATACACTGTTGCCTAGTTTGGTAACAGTTAGTAATGGGAAGCCCGGTTGATGTGTCCATAAAGTCATCATTTCCTTGAAAAAATAAAAACATAAATCAATATATCGATGGTTGAGTGGAAGATCGACCTATCTCGGCAGCCAGTTCGAAAATGCCCTATCTCAGAAAAATTTTTAACAACGCCCTACTTCAGTATTTGGTTGAAGAACGCCCAAATGAACTACAAACGGTAAGCGTAAAAAAGAGTATACCTTTACGCTTTGCCGATTTTATTCATTTATATTTTCCATACCAAATTTTTCTTATTTTTTTTTATAAAAAATACAGCTCATTCCACATCAGAAACCACAAGGATAAATTTTTTTAATGCCATACAGAGCTCGGGAAAATTCAAGAAATTTTAAATTTTGGAATTCGATTTTTTATGGAAGAAAATGCACAGCATCCACTGCAAAAAAAATTAACGGACTACAAAATATATATATAATATATTCAAAATTTTTCTAAGAAACCGAATTGAAAATTTGGAAAATTTCATGGGGATTTGTTGAGTTTTCAGAGTTCTGTACGAAATTCTGTAAGAAATCAAAAAAAGTATTCTGATTGTTTTTGCTGTCGAATGAAAAAATTTAAAATTTCGATGAAAATTTCCTGCAAAAAATTTGTGCTAGTGGTTTTTGCTGTTGTTTGAACAACATATCGTCACTAGACACGAATAAAGGCGCGCTAGTGTTTCGACGGCGAAAAAACACGCATACAAAAATTTTACGAAAAACGGCGCTTAAGAAAAACTTCGGCGAAGAAAGACGCCTAATAGCTGAAATACAATGACGGCGAACGGCGAACTCACCACAGCGAAATTCGCGCTGTCAAAATTAGAACACCCGCACGCATATGTAATTGAACACAGCCAAAGCGAAATGCGAAGTTCTCTTGGCGGCGTTTCATGGCGATAGATTTATTTCTATCGCCCTGCTGGGCGACGACAGCTGTGCGTGCCAAAGGTGGCCGTATTTCTTTTTTGCTTTCAAAGTTTTAAAAGAAAACAGCCTAAACACGATTTTTTTTTTGTTGTTTGAAAAATATAGTTGTGGATTCGTTACATCTGGCTTGAAACAAATTATTTATAATAATCTTTCTTTGTTTTACATTTATATTTGTTATCATTTCCTCATTTCTAAATATGGTTTAGTTTTTTCTAAATATGGTCACCCAAATTATAAAGGCGACCAAATGGGATCAGCTGTTTTCGCTACCGCTCTAATTCTGTTTAAGTAGGCGAAATAGCTGGGCGAACGGTGAATGACAGCATCGCCCAATTCGGCGAAGTTTGCCGTTCGCCGGTATTGTATTTCAAGCATAAGCTAGTTGACGGCGAAGAAAGACGCGTAATCATAGATTTATACTTGGCGAAGGACTGCCACTTCGGCACTATTCCCCAGAAACTATTAACGGAATGTACATACTATTACACCCGCAAACATTTTATTTCTTTCTTTTCTTTCTTCGCCGTCAACTATGTTAAGTCTTCTTCCGCCTTTTTTCGCGGTCAACTTTTGAGCTCGCGCCTTTATTCGTGTCTAGTGACGATATGTATATTTATTTTAATAAAAAAATAAGAACATTTTGGTATGGAAAATGTATGTAAATAAATAAATACGTCGGGTATACTTATTTTTGAAGCTCACTCTAAGCGGCTGTAGATGCCTGCAGTTTTCACCACAGCAAATCAAAGTAAAATACAAATCACTTACTTTGATATTTTTAGAACCATTCGCTTTCTTTGTGCAAATTGTCCAAAGATCTGTGGGTTCGGCAGTTTTAAAACGGTTGATTTTGAGAAAAGCACCAAGGCAACCGCGAAAACGGTCCTCTCCAATGGCGGTGTGTAACATTGAAAATATGGCAGCGGTCTTTGTAATGAAGTGTTTTTATTTTTAGTTATTATTATTTTTGCAGCTATTTTTTAAACTATTTATTATACCTTTTGTATGAAAAACTCTTCATTATTCCCATCATGCTTTGTGCCATTCATAATACTATCCCAGCCCTGTATGGCATCAATGTCCAAAGCAGCAGTGGCCATCTTCAGCAAATACATTTCCTTCAATGGCCAGTTGGTTTGCTGTGGCGAAAGTGAATGTATGCCAAGATATTTTATAAGGCCCTCCCACAACCAGACATCCTTCAAAACCTTCCTCGATGTTATACCACCAAAGAACTGACGCACCATGGCCTCGGCTACTTGCAACGCGCTCTTCTGATACTCCTCCGTTGTAATGGAATCTGGATCGGTAAGAAAGGCGGTCTTCAGCGTTACCAAACCCAACGATGAGATAATGTTGCGATCCAGTGAGGGCAACGCCACGAAGTCTACCTTCGTTAGCGGGTATAATATGTCCAGCCAAGTCTGTAGATGTTCCAATACGTCACGTGCGGTATGAAGTATAAAAGATGAGCGTGCCAGTAGATCACGTGGCGCGTAGAAGGTATAAGAGGGCGCGCGCTTTATAAGCGAACCCGTCGACTGGCTTAGAGATGTTAAGTTCTTGCCATTCGTATCGGCAGTGGGCGCAATTGTCGTTGTGGTGGCATTTTTCAACAGATTGATATTCAACGAATGGGTGAGCGCGGTGATATTGCGTACAGGTGGTTTCTTCTCCTTCAACTGGGTGTAGTTGTTGAGTTGCGCGGACTTTTTCGAGCCACTACCAGGCGGCGCTGGTGTGGTGGGCAAGTAAGCTGGTGAAGGTTGCAATGATTCACGCTGGAAGTCGCTCACCACCCAAGCGACTGCATCGGCAGGAAGCGGTGGCGTTTCAATAAAATCGTCACGTAGCTGCGTAGGAGAAATGTTCACGGTTTGATAGAGGCATATAAGGAGACTGAGATTGAGGGAATGAGGGATTTGCGAACGCAAAGGAAGCACACTTACCAAACCTGTGCCCATGTAGAAGCCCACATCCTCTGTGGTGTGCACAATTGAATTGGAAAGACCAATGTGGAAGCGATCACGGAAAACGGAAATGCGAAATGGCGCGCGTATTTGCGGCTCATCGAAGCAGGGGAAGGCGCGGCGCGCACCATTCGGTCGAAATACTGTAGCTGCTAGTAAGCTGTGAAATTGCAAAGAAATAGAGAACATTTTATACATGTACATATGTACACGCGTACACACTTACCGCTCAAGACCATTCGAGCTTTCATACTGATCCACATAAAAGCCTTCTGGCTCCGGATTCAATTTCGAATACCAACGCAGGTTGAGCGTGTAATTGGATTTCTTCTTCAGTTTTTCCTTGACTTCGATGTAAAATTGCTGTCGCGGTGGATACTCCAACACTTTGACGATTTTAATAGCGTAACCTTTATTCCCAGACGTCACAATTGCCTATAGAAGAAGATAGGGAAACGAGTGCCACGAAAAAAATTAATTTGATGAGAAGTTGTATGGAACGCAATACAAGTTACAATTTAAAATATAAAACAGATACAATAACAACTTATCATATACACAAACAACTCACCCTATCGGTTACGTTCAAGTCCTGTATGTGCAGCACTATGAAATTTGTTTCCTTCTCCACGAAAAGATCAATTGTCACTTGACCTGATAAAATAAGCAACAGAAGAAATAAATTGATTTAATTTTATCCACTTAAGAATTTTTTGGTGAAACTTCGTCTTGCCTTTGACGTCCAACGTCGTCAGATTCGGATGTATTGTCACCATGTAACGCAATGGACGCGCGTTTGTCGGCAGTGCCATTTCCAGCCAGGGATAGGGCTCTCCATTCGTCGCAATCGGATTGAAGGGTTGTGTGTCGTTCTCTTCATCCGTTTCGAATCCAGGTGCCAATTTACCGGCGCACGAACAGTCTGCAATGGCAAGCAAGCAAACAAGATGCCAAATGGAGGATAATGAAGTGTTATGAGAGAAATTATTTTTGTTTATGGATTTTTTTTTTGTATTTCTCTATATTTTCTATTTGCTATTTATTCGTATTAAATAATCACTCAGGTAAGAGACTATAGGGGTAGGGGGAGTATAATATCAAAAATATAAGTATTTATAAAAAATAAAATTCCTATAAATCTAGACTTTGTTTAAGACATAAAACAGCTTATTGATGTAATAATGTGGAATTTATAGGGATATATTTTAGTGTTTTTAACACACTATTTGAATCTATGTTATTTGAAGCTTGTAAATATGTAAGTATATACATACGTACATAAATACGAAATCGTTTTAATATCTAAATTACAAAAGTATATTCTATGTTTATTCGGGCGGGTCAATTTGTATAGACGACTTTTTCAACTATGCGCGTAATGTGAAAATTGGCTAAGGAAACCATGGTTGCTTAGAGTTTTGCTGTAGTGTCGTAGAGAAGTGCTTAAATTCTGTATAAAAACATGCTATAAGGGGTTCTCTGGTATGAGCGATCCATTTCTGCACTTACATATATTTTTCTTTAAACTTCCACCAGAAAGCGCAACAGTGCAAAATTTTCACATTTTCTTTGAACCTATTTTCGCAATTTGCCTTACTCCAAATTAATTTTAGACCTATGGTTTCTTCGGCAAATTCGTTAAGAATCTTCCTATGCTATACGCGCATAGTTAAAAAGATGACCCGCCCTAATGGTTATACATATATATGTACATAAACTAAAATTTCTATAAGACAAACATCTAAAGGGTCCAGAAAAAAAGGAATAATTTCATGTGGCTATGTGTGCATATATTTAAATAAATGTCTACTTATACGAGGGTAGGCTGAAAAGTTTTGAGCCTAAGTACCTTTAAGGGCCATTTACACCATTTCTGGTTAATTCTAACTCCCAGCTAAACATCGTTACCGACACCCAGCATATAATATGTGATCGATAAAGCAGCCGATGTGCTTAACTGAAGGATGTACTTCCAGACGCCCATTGCTAGTTGAGTAGTAGTAGTAGTTTAATAGTATAAATACCGAATTTCATGTCATTGGCCGGTTTCACACTGGAACATTTATGCCACCAGAAGAGGCAGTGCGGTGGGGTGAAGTTTCTCAAAAAGTTGTTCCAGCTTCTACCACGCATTAAAGTGCCAGTTCTGCTGCAGCGCACTAACCCGTGCGCAACTTCAAAAATGCCGCTCCGTAAATTTCAAGTCCAAACTTACAAATCCTTTCAAACGTCCTTTACGTATAAACATTTTGTTCTGCTGTTGTTCTGCTACTTTTCATGCAGTGTGAAACCGTGAGAATAATTGCTCTGCCATCCTAGTGTGAAACAGCCCATTAACATCATTACGCTTTCAGTTAAGAAGAACAAACCGTGGGCGGATGTCTACAGTGTATTTAGAGTTCTGGACGTAAGATAATTAAAGCACGAAGGGAGGCGCTGGAAGATTATCCGAAGAAAATATGGGAAAAGTAAAAAAACTGGTTCTAGAAGTTCTGAAAATCAAGTTGTGGTGGATGCGCGATGGGTACCGAAAATGCTCACTCCGTTGAACAAACAGCGCCGAGTCACAACTTCGCAGGAGTTTTTGGTCGTCTTTGGCGATAATACAGGCGACATTTTTTCTCGCATTATCACTGTGGATGATGTGGCAGTATGATGCGGAGTCAAATCAGGAGTCTGTGCATTGGCTAGAAAAGGGAGAAAAGCCACCACAGAAATTCAAAGTGGGGAAATCAGCATGCAAGCTTATGGCCACTATTTTTTGGGGTTGTGAATGTATTTTGTTCATCGACTATCGACATTGTTAACAAGAGTGTGTCAATGGTTGTCGAGAAACGGGGAGGCCAAGGTGTCCTGTTTTTGCCAGACAATTCACCCATGCACACTGAGCGAGTTGCAAGGCCTGCCCTGGCCAAAACTTAATTTGAAAAAATCAACCACCCACCCAACAGTCTAGACCTGGCACCCAACGACTACTTCCTTTTCGCCAATTTGAGGAAAAACTCCTAGGACGAAGATTTTCGAGTGAAGAAGTGAAGGCGGCGGTAGACGAGCATTTCAATGATATAGACTTTAATTTTTAAAAACCCTTTATGATAAATGTAAGAAGTGTATTTAAGTAAAGGGAGATCATATAGAAAAATAAAGATTTTATACATTTCTATCAGCTATTGCAATATCTTAGGCTCAAAACTTTTCTGCCTGCCCTCATAAATATGTATAGTACATATGGTTGCATGCAAAAAAAAAAAAATTCTCATGCAGTTGTGTACACACATTTTTTATTTAATGAAGTTGTATAAAAAATTTTGTATCAGTGCAATACTCGTAATATTTATAATCTTAAGAGTTTGGTATTTAATTCCCATCTCATCGATTGATCAGTTAAATTTAACGTTTAGCTATTTTTTGGTATATGTATATGCACTTGTACATATGTGTAGGTGCTAACATGAGTATGTCCATGCATTATATGAATAGCCCTGTAAAAATAGGACTAGATCGTATACGAATAACACCACTTTAGTAGAGTTGAGCTCTCAAAAAAATACCGCTTTTCATATAAAATGGTTCGAACGATTTGCTGATATCCTCTTTAAGTTCTCTTTTTAATTAAAAATTATACCCTTGTTTCGTATATTGCATTTTTAATGACGCACGCGACAAGTATTGAAAATTCGTTGTCCATAAAAAAAAATTATTAGCAAGAACTTGTTTCTGGGTTAGAGAAAAACATTGCCTATTTTGATGGAAACATTTTTCTGCCTACTGCTATGGAATCTAACAGTCTACTACTAAAGAAAATGGAGAAGCCACAAAAGTTTATGGAGCGTGCTTAACTCAACAGTTAATGTGCTACCTTTTTATGTCTATCGAGTGACGTCGAAGTCTGGAAAGACGTTTGATGAGTTGTGGCGATCTCCGATGACATTGATATCATCGGTAACAAAAATCGCGAAGCCGGTAAGGAAGCACAGCGAATGGTCTGGTGGTAACGAGGACAAGACTGACTGTATAAGCTGAATGGTATAAAGAGTACGTTCACGTATGTCATAATCCGAAAAAGGTGTTTTCACGTGACGAGTAATGCGATATCGTATCTGACGTTTCGAGCCCTGGTGTATGGCGCAGAAGTATGGACAAACATCCGGTAAGGAAGATTCAGGATTAAGGAATTAAAATAAAGCGGCTCCGCTGACTTGACCATGTCGTTCGAATGGATACCGACGCTCCAGCTCTGTAAGTATTCAAGGCGGGCCCGATGCTGATAACAGAGAAAGAGGAAGGCATCCTTTGCGTTGGAAAGCAGGTGGAGAAGGACTTAGCTTCACTTCGCATTTCCAACTGGCGTGCTGTTTTGGACTCGGCCAAAATCGCCTAGACGGTTACAGCACCAATAAATAAGAAGAAGTAATAGTAATATCGATTGGGTATAAAATCTATTTAAGAAGCATTCATACATCTTCAGAGTACTTCGACATTGAAACTCATATTTTCTAAACGAATTCTTGGTTACTGTAAGGAGGAAATACCATGAAGTAGCTAGAAAAAGGCTATCTTAACTTTGCTGCCTTCTGTCACAGCGTATCGTTTTGAAAGAGGGTTTTCTGCTTATACTTATAGAAAAAAAATTCTGGTCGAAATTGGATGCTAGCCCAGAAATGCGCATACGGCTTTCAGAGACAGTACCGAACTTAGTTTTTTTTAATAATTTAATTGGGGTAATTTTAAATGAGGGGTATTTAGCATGCTTCCATTATCTTAAAAGTTTGGGAACCCTTGGGTTAAACCATGGTTTTGTGTTCAACAGCTCCATGAGATTTCAACCAAGGCAATTACCAATAGCACATTGCAGTTTGTTTGATGTGTGTTGAAAAGTAGATATGACATCAAAGAGAGAGGTTCTCCACCCAACTTCAAAAATATATACAGATGTATTTACATTTTTAGATACATTTATCTACTTTTAGGTAAATTTGAACGTTTAGTTCTCCAGTGGATGCTGTTAAATCGACGAAGAGGGGATTGGTGGTCCGCAGAGGTCGCCTCCTTTATGATTTGCTTTCTGGAACAGGCGATTGAAAATTCAATTTTTAAGTTCCAAAAGAACGTTTTGTATGACAGCATACAAATACATACGCACACCAAAAGTTTTTTATCGTTCAAGTACCCACCACGCAAAACATGAGAAATAGGCAACAATCGTCAATGGCAATAAATTGGCGACTCAGCGGTTTATTGCGGTGGTGACAAATCGGCAACATCATTTCTTTTATGTAAATTTCGGAATAAATAAGTTATCAAAAATTCCTAAACTAATAAATTTCGCGTCGAGAGTACTATTATCCAAAAGCGTCTAATTTACACCAAAGACAAGATTGAAATAAAATTATAGTTTAAGAAACTAAAACCTTCCTATTATAATTGCCATTCGTACTGTCATCAGGTATGTAACTGCAGAATAGAAATCGCTGCATCTTTTAGACGCATCAATATTACATAGTTACATCCCGAGCTAATAAAAGTAAGGTAAAAATAGGAAGCCCCATAGCGAAATAAAGAATTAATTCCGTTTCTAAGTTGAAATTTGGAATACAAAGAATAAATGAAGTATTAAAAAGAATCAAATTACTCCAAATATCGCCTGAAGCGATAAGAAAACGAATCGCCCAGGTGAGTTGCCTTCGGCGGACGTTTTAGAGCGACTGGTGAAAAGAAATCGATACGATGGCGATATTATCGGCAATAAATTTGTTTTCGAGGGCGACACGCTTTCTTACTGCCGGCAACACATTTTTTTTTTGGTGGGTGTTTCTTTTACATTTCCGTTAGCATTAAAGCGTAGTGGCCTGATGTTTAAAACAAAGAGGTATATCTACGAGCCACTATGTATGTATTTACCAGAGATCGAAGAAATAGTTA